CAAAACAAATTGGATGAAGAGAAAAAAAAGAAAAAACACTTTTATCTTACGCTGGAGAGAAGTGGTTAATATTCTCTACTTCGTTGGCTTTTGTTCAAGTTAGTCAACCATTCTGGGTTGTTATGGAAATAGCTTGAGGATGGTGGAATTGCATCTCTAGCTTAGGGTGCAGGAAGGGGGCCTCATTTAGCACTCAGAGCAATTCTTTTAGGAAAGCACTTTGCTAGCAGGATTGTTTTGGGACTACAGAGCCTCTAGTTTCACAAATAACCTTAGAGAAAAAGTCTTAGTTAATTAATGCGCTACTTTCACTACATAGGGTGGGCCCATTGATCTCTGGGTCTTTTGCTGCTTTTAGATTGCTCTAGTCAGAACCTCACCTCTCCCTATGTCTGCCTCTTGTGGCAGTCATCCATGCAGACACTGTGGTTGTGAGACCTAGACCTCTCTCAGGGTTGCTCAGTCTCAAAAGCTCACCTGCCTGCCAGCACTTATCAGACAGCTTTTGGTAACCTGAACTCTCAGGTCAGTATAAACTGGATGCTTTGTTTTTTAAACTGACCTTGGACAACAGAGCTATTATCCCTGAAAACCTCTCCTTCTCTATGTCCACTACTTTTGGCAGCTGTCCGCATGGATCATGTGGCTGGGAGTCCCACAACTTCCTAGGCTGTGGTTTTTCAAATCCCCCAGATTGTTCAGTCTCAAAGCCTGCCTACCTACAGGCTGCCTATAAGCACCATTGGTAACCTGAGCTCTCTGCCACTGAAGACTAGGCACTTTGTTTTTGAAATTTTCTACTGGGCAGGGTCATCAACACACCTTTCCAGTCCTGAGCTCCCTTTAACATCTCAGCTCAGTAAAAGTCAAGGCCTCTCCCTCTCTATGAGCCTCTTTTGGCTATCCACTGCAATGTGTTTCAAAACACCCTAAGCTGTAACTGCTCCCTTTTTTGAAGACCTCCTTGGTACCTCAGTCTTGATCAAGAGGCCCTTTCTCAAGATGGCACCTTGCCATAGCTGTCTGAGTTACGGAGAATGAAAGACTCTCTTGTCTGATGTTGACCTGTTGAGTTGAGGAAGTCACTGTCCAGTCAAATCTCCACACTGGGATTTAGATTTTAGGAAGGTGTGGTTTTTGTCCCAAAGCTAGGTCTGCCTGTCTGTTGTGGAGGCCACTTGGCTTACCTTGGGGTAGAGGTAAGCCACCCCTCTTCCTGGGGGAACTGTAACTGGAGCCAGAGCTAGAGCAGCCAACTATTTCTTTTTTTGGTAGGGGGGAAGTACTGGGATTTGAATTCAGGGTCTCATGCTTATTATGCAGGCACTCTACCACCTGAGCCACTCCACCAATCCTTCTTTGTTTTGGGTATTTTCAAGATAAAGTGTTGTGAACTATTTGCTCAGGCTGGCTTCAAATCACAATCCTCCTGATCTCTGCCTCCTGAGTAGCTGGGATTACAGATATAAGCCACTGGTGCCTGGCTGCAAACTGTTTCTTAATTTACTGTCACCTTTCTCTTTTGCAGTATTTTTTAGCCATCCTGTCCTTCTTTTCTGATTCTCAGAATTCTTCCTCTTTTTTGTTCTTCTGCATATAACTCTTCTTTGTTATCCGGCCTCTTATTCATGGGGCCCGACTGGAGAAAGCTTCTACTCCTCCAACATTTTGCCCTGTTTCTTGGTATTTAATTTTTTGAGGCAATTGTGAATGGGATTCATTTCATGATTTCACTCTCAGCAGTTCGTCACTGGTATAAAAGAAAAGCTACTCATTTTTGTATGCTGATTTATATCCTACTACTTTGCCAAAAGCGTTGATCACATCTAAGAGTTTTTTGGTGGAGTCTTTAGGGTCATTTAAGTATAGGATCATATCATCTATAAATAGGAATAATGTGACTGCTTCTTTTCCTATTTATTTCCCTTTTATTTCCATCTTTTGTCTTATTGTTCTGGCTAAGAACTCTAGAACTGTATCAAATAAGAATGGAGAAGAGTGGACAGCCTAGTTTTGTTTCTGACTTTAGAGGAAATGGTTTCAGATTTTCCCCATTTAGAATAATGCTGGCTATAGGTTTATTTTATATAGCCTTTATCATATTTAGGTATGTTCTTTCTATTCCTAGTTTGTTCAGGTTTTTTATCATGAGAGAATGTTGAATAGTATCAAAGGATTTTTCTGCATCAATGTAGATGATAAAGTGAGTTTGTCCTTTATTCTGTTTATGTGCTATATTACATTAACATTTATTGAACTGTGTATGTTGAATCATCTTTGCATTCCTGCAATGAAACCAACATTATCATGGTGTATGATCTTTTTAATGTGTTGCTGAATTTGACTTACAACCACTTTATTGAGAATTTTTGCATCTATAATCATCAAGAAAGTTAGTTTCTAAGCTTTTTGTGAATGCATCTTTTGTGTGTGTGTGCATGTGTCTTTATCTGGTTTTGGTATCAGAGGAATGCTAGCTTCATAGGATGAGTTTAGTAGTATTCCTTCACTTTTTACATAATGAAATATTTTGAGAAACATGTAAGTTCTTCTTGAAAAGTCTGCTATAATTTAGCCACGATCCATCTTGTTCTTGGCTATTTTTCTTGGGAGACTCAATTAGTGCTTCAATTTCATTGCTTGTTAAAGGTCTATTTAGGTAGTTTATAGTCTCTTGGCTCAATTTTAGTAGGTCATACAAATCTATAAATTTATCCATTTCCTCTAGAACATGTTTTGATATTCCTATACACAATGAAATGGTTTCTATAAAAAAGCATTGTCTCATACCTTTTCTGTGTGAATATGGTATAAACACCTAAAATGTGAAAACTTATAATATACAATATCATTTGTTATAGTCTTCATGCTGTACATTAGGTCCCTAGACTTAATCATCTGATAGATCTACAAGTTTATGTTCTTTGACCTATATCTCCCCATCTCCACCATCCCAACCCAGCTGCTGGTAAACTACTATTATTATTCTCTGTTCCTACATAGTGAACTTTTTTAGATTCCATACAAAGTGAGAACATGCAGTATTTTTCCTTGTTTTTAGCTTATTCCAATTGGAATAATGTCCTGTGGGTTTGTCCATATTATCACTAATGACAAGATCCTTTTCTTTGTTAAGGCTGAAAAGTATTCCATTGTGTAGATATACCAAGTTTCTTTATCCATTGATAAACAGTTAGGTTGTTTCCAGATGTTGGCTATTATGAGTAACACTACAATGGACATGGTAGCATAGATATCTCTACAGGATGCTGATTTAATAAAAAATTTCCTTTGGGTACATATCTAGAAGAAGGACTACTTGGTTCTAGTTTTAAGTTTTTGAAGTTTTCAAAAATGGCTACACCTGTTTATACTCCTAATAGTGTGCAACAGGGTTTCCTTCTCCATGCCCTCAACAACACTTGCTATCTGTTATGGTTTTAACTTCTACATTGAAGTCTGCAGTGCAATTTTAGTTAATTTTTGAGAGGCAGGGTTGCAAACTCATTCTTCTGTGTGTGCATAACCACTTCTCCTAGCACCATTTGACATAAAAACACTCATCACTACATTGAATTATCTTGGCATCCTGTTGAAAATCATACCATCAATGTAAATGCTTATTTCTGAACTCTCAATTCTATACCATTGAATTGGAGTAGTCTTATGTCAATATCATATTCTCTTGATTACTGTAGCTTTGTGGTAAATTTTAATATTTGGAAATGTGAATCCTCCAATTTTTTTATTAGAAAAGTGTTTGGCCTATTCTGAACCCCCTGTATTTCCATATAAATTTTAAGATCAGATTGTCAATTGCTACAAAGAGCCAAGTTGAAATTTTGGTAAGAAAAATGGTGACTCTGGAATAATGTGAGGAATATACTACCATCTTAACAATATTAAGGCTTCTGAGTCATGAACTTGGGACAGCTTTCTGTTTCAGTCTTCTCTAATCTACTATCCTGATATTTATTTTTTAGCCATTCCTTCTAGTTTTGTTTGTTTCTTTTCTTAGATATTTCTGGATTACCCAAAAAATTTAATGACACCATTTTACCCTCCATATTAGCTTTCAAGGAATACTTTTGTCCATTATTGTTTGTTCACCGTGGACATTATAACATGCATATATGAAGTGTTAGTTTCTTTTAGATTATAATTTTTACTACTTTTCAATCATTTGTTGTACGTTACAATGAGTTTAAGCCCGTTTACTTTTTCTTTACTCTTTATGCTATTGTTACTAGACATCTGACTTCCTCATATATAATAAAATGCCATAAGGAAATTATTCTTTTTTACTCGTTAATATTTCCTTATACTCACTCACCTACCAATACTATGTTGTATTTGAAAAAAAAATCTTTCATTCAAGAAGTTCTGAAACATTCCCCAATACTTAGTTTAAAAATTCATACTAGAATGGCTTGCTGGGATATAGTCAAGGTTTTTTCTACTCTTTATTAAGATTAATTTTTCTCCACAATTATTACTCTACAAAAGAAACACACTTTCTTTAGAATTTTTCTCTTGTTCTAGATATACAACTATTAAGTTAATAAGATAGTTTTTTAAATTGTATGATAGTTTTAACATAGCAAGATATATTTTCTCTCTGAATTCCTAGTGTCTAACAAAATGCCTTTTACACAGTAGATGTTCAAAATATATTTATTAAATTAATTAGCCAATGGTCAACTAGTAGCCAATCCAAATGCTTTAGTCATGTTAATTTATATTATGTGGTATTCAAAACTAGATATAAATGTGAAACAAAAAGAATTTATACATCATATACTTCGAGAACTCTCATATTTAAATCATGAAAACTGATTTCTATGCCAGGCAAGGGAGAGTACATCTGTATTCCTAGCTACTCAAAAGGCTAAAGCAGAAAGATTCCTTGAGCCCAGCATTTTGAGACCAGCCTGGGGAACATAGTAAAACCTTGTCTTTTAAAAAATATACATTTTTTTTTTAAAAGAGTGATTTCTTACCAGCTCTTCTGAGACCTACATGGTGAGACAGTGATATAGATGATGACCTTTGCTTCGGCATTGCCAGGAGATTTGAACTAAAAGGCCCATTTAGATAGTATCCTTGACTAAAAAGGAAAGATAGCAAATTAAGAATCCTTAAATTATAAAAAAAAATTACTTTTTTTCTTTTTGATCGTCAATCTAATTAGCAAATATCTGCTATGCATTCAGACTTTAGACGTCTATCTAGTGCTTATAGCTTAAAGCAAGAGCCAATGGACTGTCTCTGTTAAAGGACAAAATAAATAAATACTTATCTTTTGACTTGCAGGCCATAAGGTCTCTGAGGCAACTACTAATCTCTGCCATACAAGCATCAATAAGAAATAATAAACAAATTGGTATTGCTGTGTTTCCATGAAATTTTATTTACATAAGCAGGTTATGGACCAGAGACTGCAGTTTGCTGATTCCTGGCCTAAAGCAGGTTACCATTATCACCTAAAAGGGCTCATAAAACATAGATTGCTGGTCCCATCCCCAGGGTTTCTAATGAAATGGGTTTAGGACAAGGCCAGAGAATTTGACTTTTCTAACATGTTCTTAGATGATACAGGTGTTGCTAATCTCGGGTCTTCACTGAGAACCACTGGCAAAAGTATAGTTTTTCATCATTTTCTGTTTCCCTTCCTCACAAATAGTGATTACTATTAACCCAGTCATTTCCTATAAATGAAATATTCACTATAGAATTTAGGGATTTTTATAAAGAAATTAAATATAGTCATAATCATAGAACACTAGTTTAATCAATAAAATATAGTTTATTATATGTTACAAAGTAAATGAGGCAGTAATATATACAGAAGTTTTTGGCCCAGTGCCATGTGTTTATGAGACACACTATAAAAGTTACCTTCCTTTCTTTAGATGTTCAATGGGCTATTTTATTCTATTAGTTGACTCCACATGTGGGCATTTTGCCACAAGCTCAAAAACAAATCTAGACTTTTAAAATCTAGTTTAATTCAACTTTGATTACATTCTCACAAAACTCCTCCCCACTCCTTCCATCCTTCCTGCACTTTCACACTGCACTTATTCAAGGGAGAGCTAGTTTTCTATGATCTCAGAAGTCTTTGTTCCTGTCACTATAATATTTTTTATATATTGTTCAGAATCTGCTTACAGATTCTTTTCCCTCGCTGATTTGTGAGTTCTTTTCAAGTCTATGTCTTTCTTCTCTCTATATTCACACTGGACATAGCACCATGCCTGATAGAGGTATTCAACAAATGTTTGGAGGATAAAATATGATAGTCTCTTTAGGCTCCTGTTCTAAAGTTAATAGAGAAGAGGTCTTTTCTGCTCCCAAGTTTCAAGTGAATACTCTTCCTCCTCGCAGGATCAAGAATCATAATCCAAAACAGATGCCATATCCCTACAGGACACTTGTTAAGCAGACTTTTATCTTCAAAACTCCATGTTAAGGCAACCCCAAAAACTTAACAGCAATTAAACACGCTTCAAAGGATTACTAATGGCTAACAAAAGATAGAAAGTGAAAATAAAAAATTTTAAAGTGTCATGAACTAGGTAAAGAAAAGGTGTTATGAAAAGACAGAGATAAAGTAATTATTTTTTCTTGGAAAATAAGGAAAGAGGATATAGAGGTGTTATTCTTAAGAAGTGATATAATTTGCTTATAGTGAAATTGTTTTGAAACATAATTCAGCTTAATTTTCAAGCAGCGTGAAATTAAAAACAAAATTATTAGAAAACTTCAAGGAAGATTCTAAAATAAGTGTTTTCATTTAGCAAGTTTTCCAAATTACTTTTCTACTCTCATCCTTTGAATAAATGGTGTTTGTTTTTTCAGTGCTGGGGGTCAAATCCAGGGCTTTGGGATATACTAATTCTTTGAAAGACTACTCATTTCTGTTGGTTCATTTAACTTTTCTGTGAACTTTGACATGAAGTTCTAACAGGATTTCAAGTTCTAGACTAAAATTTTAGGTATTATTCCACAGGAATTTGTAATGGCTCTAAAAACTTAATGACTAGAAAAACTATATAATCAAAGTTTTGTTTAAGGAAGATTACTAGTTGTAGGTGGATGATGGATCAGGTGGTGAAAGTGGAAGTCCAATTAAGGTGCTGATTTAATAATCCAAGTTAAGTGGAATGAAAGTATAAAATAGTACAAAGTGATAAGAGGAGAAGAGAAAGAAAAGGAAAGATATTGCAAAGACAGACTTGTTTCATATTATCCCACTTTATGCTCAAAGCACACTTAGGAACTCATTACCAAGAAGCTCTAGCTTCTACACATTAGAAAAATTACATTTGGCCTGTTCTCTTTATAGTAGACATACATCAAAACCCATAATTACTTTATACTTCAAATTTCTAAATCTTTTATGAAAACATGATATTGTTTTAATGCAAGGTAAGTGAATATATAGATTCAGCTTATGTTTATATGAGTACTTCTGAAGAGTTAAAGAATAGCTTTCTTTATACCATGTTTCTATTTTAATATTAATCATCTGAGGCTGAATAAAAATGATCTTAACTCAATGTATCAATGTTTCTTTAGCAAATATACTGTTGTTACATCACTGTGAAAAATTTAAAAAGAATCATTTTATTTTCAGCCAAACCTCAGAATCCCTAATATTCAGGGTCTGAGTCTCTGCAGCATGAATTGGCATCTTCTCCGTAACACCTTCTGCCAACATTTACTTTTCAACTTTCTCCCTATTTCTCCATTTGTTGATATTATACCTGGGAAAGATATATTTTAATGAGGAACATAGAGTTGGAAATGTCTATACTTGTCCTTAGGTGGGGAGTAGGCTGATGGGATAGCAGGGATTATGGTTAATTAGAGGCTCTGAGCAGATGGGAGGCACTATGGAAGAAAGAAAGAATCTAATATTTTATAAAAAGAATCTTGGGAAAAAGTGGGAGTGTGTTTGTAGGACAGAGTTGAGATCATAAACAAATGGTGCCTAGATTCTACTTTTCTTGGGTTATTCTATATGTGTTCCACAATTTATTCTATAGTATTTATGGTAAAATTATATTCATATATAAGAAAAGCATAATAGAAAATTTTTAAGATTGCATTAAATAATTTGGAGCATACTGATTACTGTTACTGGAATAAAATATTAATATGCAAAGATTATTTTATCCTTCCTTTTCAAACCCAGCAATTTTCTCAAGATAATGCTTCCCATGACTAAGAAATCTTTTATATTTTCAATTCACTTTCTCATATCCTGTTTCCCATTTGCCCATTATATACTCCCATTTTTAAAAAAAAAGACTAGGCAAAATGTGGACCCAGCTCATTTTCCTGTACTATATTCTACATGTATCAATCCACTCCTGTTTTACACTTGACTTCATTCAATTTTTCTTTCATAAAAAGGAGCTCAGGTACCATAAAAATGCAAATTAATAAAACCACCAAGAATTTGGAAAATTATAATTATCACATTATATTTCACATATAAATCTTAGCATAAATTTTAACAGGTAAAATTTGCTCCAATCCTGCCATCTACTGTTTCAAATGTGAAACGATACAGCTCAAACTAAACAAAGCATAACATATGACCAACAGTAACAGGGTGGTTTCACACAGAATTTTCATTAATTCCAATTCTATTAACATAGATAACTGACTAAAGAGAAGTTTAACACACAAGAGATTAGTATTTTTCTTGGCTTTCCAAAGACAAAATACTGAATCCTTTGTCATCAGAGTAGATGATATTTACATTTCAAAAATTTTAGATTCTGCACTTTCCCAGCCTCAGTTTGTCACTGATACCTTTAATCTGTGGGATTAGCACTGTTTAGTTTCAAGTAAATTCTTAACAGATTATAGAATACACTAGTGGTCTCAGCCTACAGTCTGAACAGAGTTTGAAAGAATCTTGCTATCATAAACCTAACAACTGTGATGAGCCCTGGGAATGTGGTCTTCCTTTCACAAGTCAGTAACTGCTAACCTATCTTTGAATCCCATACATTAGATTGATGACTACCTCCTTCATTTAAAAGCTGTCTCAGTACACTGTCCTAAATTAATCTTAGTTTCCCTAAACCATCTCTCTGTCATGGTCTTAAGGCTCCAGTATGCTTTATATCAAACCTAACTAAGTTTTGATAGAAAGCATGATAGCTTCTTCTTAAGAATCAGCTTCTTGGTCAGGAAGCATGACTCAACTGATTATTAGGTGCTGACTTAGTATGCATAAGGCCCTCAGTTCAAACTTCAGAACTGTCAAAAAAAAATGAGTTTTTTACTTTACCTATTATTATTACCTAAATTCTTCAACCATTTTTTTCCTGCTTTTAGAACTACTTTGAACTTTATTCACAGAAACAAAGTGGATGCTTTAGATTTCTTTAAAAGACTCTGGGAATTTTACCTTGGAATCCCAAATTCTTGGTGAGGCCTTCTGCCATTACTGCGTTCCCACCTTGAAGACTGTTCAGTAGGTAGCAATCCTGAAGTTCCTGAGCTCCTCCTCAACTGTGGAGTTGGCAAACTATTCCTACTACTTAGTCCCTGTTAAATAATTTAGCAATGGTTACAACTGTCATCCTTTAATATGATGTATATGTAAGAGTAATAATGGCCCATGAAAATATCAATACAAAGAATATTTTATCATGTACAAGTAAAACAAAATCTCATTCTGGAACTCTGACAATTTACTCCAAGTTTACATTCCATACTGTTATTCTATTTAGCTTCCTCTCATTAAAAATAATTTCTAAAGTCTATAATTTAAGCTAAATTCATTTATTTGGTATTGGTGGTACTGTAGTTTAAACTCAGAACTTTGTGCTTGCTAGGCAGGCACTCTATTGCTTGAGCCACATCTCTAGACCATATGTAAGATACTTATATTAAATTATCTGTCCCTATTCCCTTTTGCTTGCTATTTATTTTTTTCATAAATGCAGTGGCTCTTTTCAGAACAACATCAAGCTTTTAATATGTGCTTCTAAAATCAGAGACAAATTAGATATGAAATTCTAATGAGTTTAAAGAACACACAAAAAAAGAATGAGAGTTACTTCCTGGTTTTTATATGACTTACTCATATCAGTAGATTCCAGCATCCAAAATAAACTTAATTGACTAACAAACCTCAGAAAATGAGGTATTTTGGCATCCTGTTTAATTAATAACATGCTTAAAATGTTTCTAAAATGTCAGGAACTGTGTCTCAAACTTGTAATCCTTGCTACTTGGGAAGCAGAGACTGGTAGGGTCATAGTCAAAGCCAGAAGAGGCAAAAAGTTCAGGAGACTCTATTTCAACCAATAAAAGCTGAGTACTCATTTAGAATTATGCGAGTTTAAAACTGCCTCTCAAGTCTCAAGCAGCATGATATAACATAAAAGAAGTTGGTTCTTAAAAAAGAAATTGTATGTTATACAACATTTAGAGGAGCAGTTTTAATTTGTATAGGTGATAAGTCAGGTTGTTTAACTATATTTTAACCTTGGGAAGTTTTCGATCTCCTTTCTCAGCTGGATCCTCTATTTCAGAGCAGGGGTAAAATCCAGGAAATGGTGTAAGAGGATTAATCTTCGGCCTACAGGAACCTGAGAAAGCACCCATCAAGCTACTGATACTCCGTAGGGAAGAAATGACTTGTGGGGGAAGGCTTGGGTCAATCAGAAGATCTGACACCATATTGCGAGCCTCATTTAGCACTGAAAGATCAACTCCATTTCCACCTCCAGAATTCTAGAAAAGTAAGGAAATTACATATTATTAAATAGAAAAGTTAACATTAAAAAAACACTCTAATTTGAATTAAAGTCTATATCACAACACTAAAATAATTTAATCCTATTAGGTATAAGTTTTCGTTAACTTGGATCTGGCATAAATGATGTAACAAATGGTGTTATTCTAACTAAAATTATATATATATATATCTCATACTTAATGACATTATTTTATCATTAGCAGATAACTAAGTCTATATTTTAAAAGTCTTTGATTTATGTATTCCATTAGGACTTCTTTTCCTTTATAGCAAAATTTTTTTTAGACATATAAGGATGGGAGGAAAACCAAGGAGACAAAAGATATGGAGGAAGATGAGCAGCTATAGTGGTGGCAGTGGCCACACCTTGCTGTAAATACTAAAATATTCATTCCCTAATCCTTTCTGTACTACAGTTTCAGAGATGCCTAGTATTTATTATTATTGAAATATAACCTTAGCTCATCTTTTATTCAGTATTAATAATATACCATGCACATACTATTTTAATCAGCTCTCTAAAGGAACTGGTATTATCCCCAAATTAAGAGGTTCAGAGTGACTGAAGAAGCCTGACTAATTTTCCAACTAAGAGGGACTAGTTTGTATCATATCAACTCTTCTGCCTAGAACTAGAAAAACTAAATTAAATCCTGCAGAACACATTTCAAGGCAACACAGCACAAGTAAGCATCCAGGGCGTGAAAGGATAAGAACTGAGAAGAGGATAGAAATGAACCCAATATTCTGTCTACATTTTCCCTCAAGGAATTGGCTAGATTTACAATTGGCACAGGGCAGAAAAAATGAGAGGCAGAGCAATTAAGAGTAGGAAACAGAGTAGAGCTCTCTGCAAGCTCAGGGGGATAGAAAACCAAATTTGTAGCTTAAGGCTCCAAAGGCAAGGAGGGCTTAAAAGGTCAAGCAAGATTCAGCCAGATGAAATTTTTTAAAAAGTGAGCTTAAATTCAAAAGAGCTTTTCCCCTGAAGGCATTTGTCAATTTATAAACCGTGCCTAAGAAACAGAGAAACCAAGTAGAAATCCTCAAAAAGATTTCTTATTTCAAAGTTAAAGAGACTTTTCAAAATTAGAACTGGGTCAACTGGGTGTCCATATGGTGAAAAATTATCTTAAGCTGTATGTCATACTATATAGAAATAATATCAATCTTCAAATGTACCCAACTGAAAAATCAATTCCAAATGCATTACAGATCCAAAGATGGAAAAACAATAAAAGTTCTACAACGTAAAATATAAGAAAATCTTCATGACCTTGGGAGCCAAGTTCTTACACAAGACACAAAAAGAGCTAAGGCACAGTGATGTGCACCTACAGTCCAGCTACTTGAGAGGCTGAGACAGGAAGATCACTTGGGCCTAGAATGGGAACTCCACTCTTTAAAAAAGACATGAAAAAAATAACTAACCAAAAAGGAAATTATTAATAAACTGGTTATATTATATTTTGGCAAAACAAACCATAAGAAGACAAAGATTGGAAGAAATTTTTCCAACATAGATTACAGATATATGCAATATATCTATATTACATATATGCATATCAATTTACAGATATACATATTCATGTCTGGAATACATAAAGAACTTCTACTGAATATGAAACAAAAAGACAGAAAACTGGACCAAAGACCTGACCATGGCATATCTGGGTAGCCAAACTAACATATGAAAAGTCCTTCAACCTGTTGAGTCATCAGTAAAATGCAAATATTTAAGCTACAGACAGTTGCACAGCTACCAGAATTATTTAAAAGAGATAATACCAAGTGTTGGTGAGGATGTTTAACAAGTGGAACTCCCAAATACTGTTGATGGTTGAGTAAAATTAATACAAACTCTGGAAAATTATCTCATACTAACTACTAAAATCTTCTAGCATATTTTCTGCTAGCAATCCACTCCAAGTTAAATATCCAACAAAAGACATCAATATTGTCCCAGCAATATTACTAGCAATAGCAAAAAAATTAAAAATAAAACAAATGTCTATCTCCCTGTACAATGTATAAATGTATTGTGATATATTCATTCAATTGAATTCTAAATAGGATGAAGATGAATGAGTTACTGCTATATAGAGTAATATTAATCTCGCATATAAATTTTTAAAAGAAAGAAGTAAAGGAGAAAACATATCAAACTGCTTTCATTTACATAAAATTCAAGCACAGGGAAAACTAAGTTTTAATGGCAGAAATCAGGATTGATATAACCCTTGAGAGAAGGTGATGACTTGAAGGGAAGCATAAGGAGGTTTATGGGTGATGAATTTTTCATCAGAACGACTGGCACATGTGTGTATTCTGCTCAAGAAAATTCATCAATTTGTATATTTATGAGATGTGCACTTTTATGGATGACTGTTACACTTCAATTTTTTAAAACATGTAATGAGAAACATTTTTTTCAGTACTGGGGTTTGAACTCAGGGCCTCAGATTTCTTAGGCAGGCACTCTACCACCAGCCCTAAAAGTATATTAGAAAGCGAAAGAGGAGAAAGGGCAAATATGCCTAATGGTCACACACCAATTTGTTTGGCAATTACAGCTTTGGCCACTATTGATTATTTACCTTTAGATTTTACCAGCAATTTAGATATTCTTTTAGCAGGAAACTGAGAACTGTGGTGACTATGAATGATGATAAAGCCCACTATGTAGTAGACCCAAAAAACCAATCCCTTTTAAGTCAGGTATGCTCTTAGTCCTAATTTCATTTTACTTTGCTTACCTAAGTCGGGGGGCTATTTTCTTCTTATGGATTATGTTGACTACTGCAGTCACAATTTGAAAATAATTAATTTAAAAAGCTTAAAAAATAAGCCACTCAAAGGGATGTTCATTTTTCAAAAATGGGTATCAAGACAACAAGTGAAATAAATTTAATAAACAGGGGTTAACATTTTTGTAGCATAAATTATTTAATATTTATTGTTTATCCATTATTGTAAAAAAATCAGGTTTCAAAACAGCATATGAAACATTCACAATGCAATTTTCTAGAATAGAATATGCAAACACTCATTTGTAATAGAAAAATATCTATACAATTATACATAAAATTAGCAGTTATTGCATGTTTTCAAGTGATTTTTGTCTTTTTTCTCATATAATTCTATTTTCACTTTATCTGATATTACTTAAGTGGTCAAAAATATGTACTATGTTATTCCACACATATATGTATATGTGTGTGTATATATACGTATGTGTATATACATATATATATATAAAGTTCAAAAATAAAAGCAAACTTAATCATTAGAAGTAGAGATAGGGATTATCTTTGGAGATATAGGTAATGACTGGAATGGCATAAGTGAGCTTCTGGGATATTGGCAATGTTCTAGCTCTTCACAAGGGTACTAGCTATATGAGATGTTTGGCTTATAAAAGTTCACTGAGCTGTTGTACGCTTTTCCATATGTATGTTATAATTCAGTAAGAATTTTATCAAAAAAATTAAAGTACAGCACTTTTGCTTCCCTAATAAAATATTTTGTCAATTACTTTGACTTGTCTCATACGGCTTTAAATCTATTTATCTCCTCTATAGATCAGTGTTACATATCAGAAAAGAAAAATAATCTCATCCTTAATATAGAAATATTAGTTTATTCTATGCCCAGATTATATTAGCAACACTTTAAAAATAACTATGTGTACGTTTGGTTTCTGATTTTCCTTTTCTTTTACACATAAAATGTTTTTTTTAATCTACCTCAGTGAAGGTTCTGGTTAACTCAGCTCAGTTTAAATTTTTTTCTGACACAGAAATCCTGTGAATTGAACTTTATTTTAGAGGTTAAATGTTTCATTACAGATATTAATTATTAATCTTATCATTTATACTTACCTGGTAATGAGGTTTGTACCACTGCTTTAAATCCCAATCCCAAAGAATCATCTGGAAAAAAAATCACTTGGTTATAAACCATTAAGTACATAAACATATGTGAAGACAAATTGCAGTTTCTTCAATTATAGATGTCAAAAATATTTTAAAATGTGGGAAGGGAATTGAGAAGGTGAGGATAAAAATAAGTCTCTTAACAGAATAATTTCATTAATTTATATATTCTGTAATTGAAAATTAAAAGGATTAATAATTATCAAAATAAAGTCAATAAAATATACTATATTAACCTTCAAATATCTATTACCATGAAAAGGAAACTACAAATCCAAAATCACAACCAGTCACTAAAAATATAAGAAAAATTAAATATCACACTCTCCCTGTCCCAACCTTCTCCAAAGGCTCATCATTCATCATCTTAGAACTAGTTTCAATGGGTGGAGCTATTTCCTTACCATTAAGACATTTCTGTGAACAGTATTTTAAAAAGCTTCTTGTCCTTGGAGTTAAGATTATGTATAAAGGAATGTTTGTAAAAACACGTGCCCTTTTTAATATGCAGATAATTTGTGATTGTTTAACTTTGTCTCCTTCATAGTCTATCAAGGTAACTTCTTAGTCCCAAACTAGGTTTGGGGTTTTTTTTAATCACTGCCCTTCTTCCAAGCAGGCTTTCTAGATGCTTCCCTATTGCAATGAAGAAGTCACTATGCTGAAGGAGATAAAACTAACTTCAGTCAGCTATCATTATCATGATCATTAATCCTAAATTTCTTTGAATTGTATTAAGTCAGTGACTAGGTCATCTCCTATTATAAATCCAGTATGTGAATTTCTATATTCTACACAATTTGTGTGTTTTTTTGTCATTGCTCTTAAGTCTTTTGGTTGCAAAAAATCTCAAAGTGTTACCTGTGCAGTCAACACTCCATTATTTTATAAGGAGCTGATAAAATTATTTCTGTAAAGAGACTGAGTGTTATAGGCTTTTTAAGTCTTGTAAAGTATGTATGGCATATTATTTGGTTTGGGTTTTTCCTCTTACAACCTTTTAATATAAACATTTTAATAAAATGTTATTAAAAATTCTTAGCCTGAGGATCATGCAAAATAGTATGCTGGCAGGATGTGTCAGTGGGCTATCATTTGCTGATTCTTATTTTAGATAATATACCCAACTTCAATCATTCCAAAAATTGGCAATTGTTAGTATCATCATCTACCTAAACATATTTGTAAAAGGTAATCTATTCCTTGCCAGTGGGGGGAAAAGTCAATTGCTTCCCAAAGAAAATCCAGAATACTACACCCACTTGGAAAATTCATGAGCCAGTGCCCAGAAAATGATATGGTCTAGCTACACACCAAGTATATCGTGTATTTTAGTAGACTCATTAGATTTATGCAGTATTTTATATAGCCCTAAGTGTACCTGATCAAGGTTGTGACTTAACCTTGATCTAGAAACACTAATTAATTCAGCTTAAGATGTTAACACCTTCCTTAAAACTCACATTGAGATTAAAACCTACAATCCATAAGATTCACTTATACTTGACATTACTATGATCCATTTTTTTAAGATATAATTTTGATATTTTACTGCTGTACTTATTTAACCTGTCAAAGTTTCTTTGGAGATTGGTGATGTTAACTAGCTTAATTACCGTAACTCTCATGATTATGATATTAGTAAATCTGATATTTTCAAGCTCACTAATGAAAGTCTAGAATAGAAAAAAAAACCCTGAAAACAGTATTATATGATGTAGGACTAAAAATTACTTAAGGTACTGGAAGTAATTAACTAGTCTGCATTCTGAATCTATAAACTTGTCTAACGAAACTATCATTACAGTATAAGAAGTATGACTCGTACTTCTGTATCTCTTCCACCAGGATATCATGAGAGACATACCCATTCTCATTTCCCCGATTCACATTAGTCTAAACAGAAGTTGAGTTTTTGCTAACTCAAGCATACTTGCATTAGGATAGCTTAATACTGAGTTGTCTTCTTTTCTCCCCACTTCACTGGCACATATGCTTTAAAGAATTACCTTTTGAACTATTTGCACTCTACTGCCAATAGCCATTTATTTGTATTCACATCTAGTACACTTAATGAGGGTACCATCACTCCCAAGCAGGTGAAAACCGGTTCTTGAGGCAAAAAAAAAAAATCTTAAAGCTTAAAATAGTTTATAGTCTGTACATAAAAAGATATGCTGTACATCTGCGATATTAAAATATCCTGGAGAGGAAGGAATGATTAGGGAAAACATGTCTAAAGAGGCTCCTGATTAGGGGTACAAAGGTTATAATGAAAGTAAGGTTGAGAAACACAGATATAAGAGAGCCCGGGTGCTTGCTTATAAGAGCAATCCCATCTTAGCTTACATTCTGACAAAGTGCCCTAATGCATTTAGACAATTCCAAGGCTGCCTACTTAGAAGATGCTACTAAAAGAATTATACTCCATTTTAACTGTATTCTTAGAGGTCCATAAAACCTTATTATGTGTAAGGCTTTTTTTCCTCTGTGCTGTAACATTTTCAACTGCAGACTATTTCCCTTACTAAATTCACTCCTAGTACTTTTTCCTATTATCATGGCTTTTCCCTCACTGCATTTGCTAGGTTGCCTTTGAATTAACTCTTAAGCAACCACTTACCCTTATTTGCAGCCACTTTCTCTAGGATCAAAATTACATTACCAAAAAGCTCCAGGTCTTCAGCTGAAATTCCCATCATATTACAAATTAAAAACAGATGCACTGAAAGCCACAAATAGCTGGCAGCTTGCCTTCTGTTTAATTTGAACAATGAGAATATTAGTGATTTTTAAGAAAAATAAAATTTTCTGCATAATTAGTAGAAGATGAGTGGCTCAGGAATTTTAGAGTTAAGTATATGTCTTACAGCAGTGCTATTCAAAATGTGGTAAATAAAATGATACATATAGAAATTAAAAGTAAAAGTTTAGACCATATGTCAGCAAGATGGCTGACTAGAGGTATGATGAGATTTCCTCAACAAAAGTGGACAAAACAGTAACAACAAAATATTCTTATTCCATGAAATATTTGAAGCAATGGTTTGGGATGCTACAGAAACATTGCAGAGCAGAGCCAAGACGGTTTTATAAGGAAGGTAACAAAGTATATAGCATCTACCAGCCCATCTCTCCAGTTGAGACCAACCCTGAACTAAGAGGGTCTTGACAACAAGGAGTTCGGGTAAGAACAGACCCCAGCAAAACCAATAATGCCACAGACATCTGAACACCTGAATGATTTGCTGCTGGAGAAGCCTGTAGGCCTCACAATCCCTGAGTTCAGTTTGGGGAAACTTTAGAGAATCCATGCAAATAGATGCAATGCCCCAGAAAAAGCACCACCTTGAGGCCCTGACCTCCTAGAATCTGGAGAAGCACATAGATAGTCACCACAATAGGTCAACCAGCCCACTGAACTTGCCAAGAGGCCCCGCTCACTCACTTGGAAAAGGATGGGGGACTACTACTCAGTAGTCCCTTCCACCATTCTGCAGCCCCAAGAAGCAGCGAGGTGGCACCTCCCACCTTCCAAGGGCCCCAACAAACTGCTGGGCAGCCTCCCCTGAGGGGTTCGGCCCACTACTGTCCCCAGAAGTTGCCAGGCTTCCTCTTACAGCTCCAAGAAACATCTGGTCATCCCTTTTCACCCTCCCCAAAGCTGCAGGAAGAAGCCTGACAGCTTGATCTGAGGCTTTTGCCTGCCAAGGCCTAACAAGTGCATGGGTATCCCCACCCACTCACGCTTGGCCTCAGGAAGCATTTCCTGCCACTGGCTCTGGGTACATATAACTGTGGGTGAGAGATGTTTGGATTCTTTGAATACTGACTGACATGCACTTCATCTGAACCAACCAGTGTAGCCCAACTTCCATATGGTCCTTGGGAATTAACAGGCATCCTATCCTTACTTCTATGCATGCTGTATTACACTTGCCCAGACCACAAGAGTGACACCACATCCACATGCCTCAGAAACTAAAAAGCACGTCATACCCAGAACCATGTGCCACATGCCACACCCAGAGCTGCTAGCGAAGTCTCCCTGCCTAAGAGAGCTGCATCCCAGCTGGTGAAGTAATCCCACAAACCCCTGCATCCTGTATCAGTTAAGCAAATTTACAGAATGTGTTTTCATCCAATAGCAATAAAAGGCGCATTCTTCTCATCATTCGATGGAATGTGCCTCAAGACAGACCATTTGTTAGCCCACAATACAAGTCCCAATAAATTTATAAAAATTGAAATCATACCATGTGCCTTCTCTGGATGCAATGAAGTAAAACTAGAAGTCAACAAGAGGAACTACAGAAATTGTACACACACATGGAAATTAAACAACAAAGCTTTTGAATGACCAAGGAGTTGATGAATAAATCAAAAGAGAAAAGTTGAAATTTCTTGAAACAAATGAAAATGGAAGTACAACAAACCAAAATATATCAGATATACTAAAACCATGACTAAGAGAAAAGTTTATAGCAATAATCACATACATCAAAGGAAAATATTTCAAATAACCTAATGATGGATGTTACAGAACTAGAAAAGCATAACAAACCAGAAATAAATGAAACAGGGATTAACAAGAATACAAAAGGTCAATAAAAGGAAGTACTATTTTTTTAAAAGACAACAAAATCAACAGATTTTCAGCTAAAGAAAAACCTAAGGATTATACACATACACTTACACACACACACGCATGCACACAGAATCTGGTGGTACCAATAAACAAATTCAGTAAAGTTTACAAGATACAAAATCAACATAAAAATTTACATAACGGTAATTAACTTGCTGTGAAATAAATTTTAAAAAAGCAATGATACTCATGATAGCACTAAAAATTAAAGTATCCAGGAATAAATTTAACCAAGGAAGTGACTTATCTCTAGAGTAAAAATTATAAAACACTGATGAAAGAAAATGTAAATATATTCTATGTTCACAGATTGGAAGAATATTGTTAAAATAGCCATACTTCCCAAAGC